TGAAAATGCAGAAATCACCGGTCTTCTGTGTTGCTCGCGCTGGAAGTTGGAGACTGGAGCTGTTCCTATTCGGCCATCTTGCTCCATCCCCCCAAAGTATGTTAAAACTATAAGTGAGTTTGGAAACTTTATTAAGGCTGTGTTACATTTAAATGCAAACAGAGCACACTGGAAAAAACAATGGTGGGAGAAAAAAGAAGAAATAGGAGGCTCATGCTGAGCCTAAGTTGTCACCCCTGCTGGGATTCAGATGTATTTGATCATGTCCAAAGATGTTTCTGGGACCTGAGGCTGGAAAATACCTAGCTGAATGAGTTGACTTACATAGTAAAAGGAACCTGGGGAGACTCTTGGGGAAGAAAAGAGCTCTGCCTGGAAGATATAGTAGAACACAGAATGGGGCACAGCACAGACATCCTGCTTCAGCATGGAACACAGCCTGTCTCCCAAGTGTCCCTAGCCTGTTTAAAAACTCTGGGACCACTATGAGATAGAATGCTTGGCATGAACATCAGTGTCCTACAATCAGCACCAGTAGTAGAGACAATAGGAGAAATCCTATAGTGATTTCTTGGACAGCTGATACCAAAGAGGGTGGTCAAAACAGGAAAACAATTGGGACAAAACATAGGGAAACTCACTGGACATAAATGGGGAAAACTTTGCAGAGGCTGAGGTGTAGCAAAGAGTCTGTGAAATGCTATTGTGACTGCCCCCCCGCAACTGTATCCACAGATTTATGAGTCCTGTAATACTAGCTTTAACAGTTTGAACAAAATCCATGAGAGAAAAGCCACAAGTTAGTATCCATTAGCTTGTATTAGAAATATTAGATTATAATACAATTTTATATGTTCATAAATCATATGAGTACTAAAATTACCTAAAGAGAAAAATTTTTTGCTTGTATTACTGAACATTAGCATTACTAACAAATACTGTTATTACAGAGCTTTTCAATAAAAGCACATTAATTCAGAGTAATAAGACAAGAGGGCTCTTCAGGTGTGTGGCCAGTATACCCACTTTGCTTTTTATCTCGCTGGGCATGGTGGCTCATGCCTGCAATTCCAGCACTTTGGGAGGCTGAAGCGGGTAGATCACACTGAGGTCAAGAGTTCGAGACCAGCCTGGCCAACATGGTAAAACCCCACCTCTACTAAAAATACAAAAATTAGCCGGGCATGGTGGTGCCACCTGTAATACCAGCATAAGAATTGTTTGAACCTGGGAGGCAGAGGTTGCAGTAAGCCAAGATCATGCCACTGGACTCCAGCTTGGGCAACAGAGTGAGACGTCTGCCTTAAGAAAAAAAATGTATGTGGAAACAAATACAAATAACCATCAGGTAATATTAGGAACACCTCTAGGCACACAAACTAGAAAATCTGGAAGAAATGGATATGTTCCTAAACATACATACTCTCCCAAGGCTGAACCAGAAAGAAGTTGAAGCCCTGAACAGACGAATAATGGACTCCAAAATGTAAGCAGTAATAAATAGCCTACCAACCAAAAAAAGCCCAGGACCGAACACATTCACAGCCAAATTCTATCAGATATACAAAGAAGAGCTGACTGGTACCATTCCTACTGAAAATATTCTTAAAAATCGAGGAGGAGGGACTCCTCTGTAACTCATTCTATGGGAACAGCATCACCCTAACACTAAAACCTGGCAAAGACACAACAACAACAAAAAACTTCAGGCCAATATCCTTCATGAACGCCAATGAAAGAATCTTCAACAAAATACTGGCAAATCGAATCCAGCAGCATATCAAAAAGCTTATCCACCACTATTAACTAGGCTTTATGCCTGGGGTGCAAGGTTGGTTCAATATATGCAAATCAATAAATATATTCATTACATAAACAAAACTAAAGACAAAAAAACTACATGATAATCTCAATAGATGCAGAAAAGGCTTTTGATATAATTCAACATCCTTCATGTTAAAAACTCTCAATAAACTAGGTATTGCAGGAACGTACCTCAAAATAATGAGTCATTTATGACAAACTCATAGCCAACACCAATAATGAGTCATTTATGACAAACTCACAGCCAACACCATACTGAATGGGCAAAAACTGGAAGCATTTCCCTTGAAAACTGACACAAGACAAGTATGCCCTCTCTCACCACTCCTATTCAACATAGTCTTGGAAGTCCTGGCCACAGCAATCAGGCAAGAGAAAGAAAGGGCATCCAAATAGGAAGACAGGAAGTCAAACTATCCCTGTTTGCAGATGCCATGATTCTATATCTAGAAAAACCCATCGTCATGGCCCAAAAGCTTCTTTCAGTGAAGTCTCAGGATACAAAATCAATGCACAAAAATCACTAGCATTCCTACACACCAACAACAGCCATGCCAAGAACCAAATCAGGAACACAATCCCATTCACTGTTGTCACAAAAACAATAAAATACCTAGGAATACAGCTAACCAGGGAGGTGAAAGATCTCTTCCAAGGAAAACTACAAAACACTGATCAAATGGAAAATGGAAAAACATTCCATTCTTATGGACAAGAAGAATCAATATTGCTAAAATGACCATACTGTCCGGTGTAATTTATAGATTCAATGCTATTCCTATCAAACTACCAATGACATTTTAATTCATAGAATTAGAAAAAACTATTTTACAATTCATATGAAACCAAAATGAGTCTGAAAAGCCAAGGCAATCCTAACCAAAAAGAATAAGGCTGGAAGCATCACATTACCCAACTTCAAACTATATTATAAGGCTACAGTTACCAAAACAGCATGGTACTGGTACAAAAAACAGGCACATAGACCAATGGAACAGAGTTGAGAGCCCCAAAATAAGGCTGTATACATACAACCATCTGATCTTTGACAAACATGACAAAAACAATGGAGAAAAGACTCCCTATTCAACAAATGATGCAGAAGATTGAAACTGGGCCCCTTCCTTTCACCATATACAAAAATCAACTCAAGATGGATTAAACACTTAAATGTAAAACCCAAAACTATAAAAGCCCTGGAAGACAACCTAGGCAGTACCATTTTGGACATAGGAACAGGCAAAGATTTCATGATGAACTCTTTCAATTGACAAAAGCAATTGCAACAAAAGCAAAGATTGACAAATGGGATCCAGTTAAACTAAGGAGCTTCTGCAAAGCAAAAGAAACTATCAACAGAGTAAACAGACAACCCATAGAATGGAAGAAAATTTTTGCAAACTATGCATCTGACAAAGGCCTAATATCTAGAATCTATAAGCAACTTTAACAAATTTACAAGCAAAAAACAAACAACTCTATTAAAAAGTGGGCAAAGGACATGAAGGGAGACTTTTCAAAAGAAGACATATATGCAGGCAACAAACATACGAAAAGAAAGCTCAGGCTGGGCGCAGTGGCTCACACCTGTAATCCCAGCACTTTGGGAGGCCAAGGAGGGTGGATCACAAGGTCAGGAGTTTGAGACCAGCCTGACCAACATGGTGAAACCCCATCTCTACTAAAAATACAAAAATTAGCCAGGCATGGTGGCGCATGCCTATAATCCCAGCTACTCAGGAGGCTGAGGCAGGAGAATTGCTTGAACCCGGGAGGCAGAGGTTGCAGTGAGCCAAGATTGCACCACTGCACTCCAGCCCAGGTGACAGAGCAAGACTCCATCTCAAAAAAAAAAAAAAA